TTCTGCTTAGCCAACTACACTAAGCCACAAGGGACATTTTAGATTTGGTTTTAATCATTGAAATAATAAGCTATTTTCTTTTCCTTTTTAAATCAAATAACTTAAAGGATAAAGGTACTAAACATGCTTCTAACCTTTTCTTTATTGCCTAGGGAAATTTATTTGTGGTGGTTGAAATATTAGAAGAGATAAAAATGATGTCTCATGCATCTGGGTCCTTGAATTTTGGGGAGAATGTAGGCAGTGACTGATTCAACCAAAAGGCTTTAAAATCTGGACTCACTTCTGAGTTTACATTAAAAAAAAACCATGTCTTACTCAATGTCCACACGGCTGTGACTCCTCTCTGACAATAGTGAAAGCTTACCTTTTCCTCTGAGTCAAGACCACAGGCCCTTTGTCCTGGTGTGGTTATTGACCCAGAAAAGCAGCCCTGGCTTCTAAATGTAGCCTCCCTCTTTCCTCTTCTGTCCCTGCTACAAACAAAAGCCTATTACTCACACACCGCCAAAGAGCCAGGCGCATATTCGGAGGCCCTCTGGGTCTTGCTTCGGATGACCAGGATGAGGCAGGTGCTGCCTTGCTCCCTGGGTCCCCTTTGAGCAGGCCCCTGCCCCTGGCCCTTGCTCTTGGGTCGGGGTCGGCAGGCGGAGTGTCCCACGCATTTGGCCAGACATTCTGGTTGTCCCTTTCCCGGAGTGACCCAGCTCAGAGGCACTGGGCTCAGAGTGGGGTGTTGCCCCTCCCCCAGCCTCCCCCACTCTTCAGACAGGGCCACTAAATTCTCTCGTGCTAGGCATGATTCCGAACCCCTTAGTGAAGAAATACATAAAGGGAGGGAGGAAGCAAATCTGAGAAAGAGAAAGAGGCTCTGGTAGCACTTGGCCACGTAGCGAACCCTCTTCAAGCCCTCGCGGGTTTTTTAGATGGTTTCTTGGGATGGTCATAATTGCCCTCCTCAGCTTCTCTGAGGATCTGATTGGCTGTGGCTCAGCCCCTGGTGGGCCCACCAAACACCGAATGAGCACTGCATGGGTGTTCCGATGCAAGGTTGTCTGCCTTGCACGTCGCATGCCAAGTGGGAATCCACGTGTCTCATCTGGGATGGCTTTTCCCGAAGCTGCAGACAGCATGGGGTAGAGGGGTGAGCTTAGCATGTCTAGATTAGAGCGGTCACTGTTACACACGCCCACACATGCTTCTGTGTGTTTACTTTTTGTTGTTTGCTTGTGTGTGTATTTTAGTGGCCGGGAGCCCTTTTTCTCTTCAAAGGTGTAAACCCTAGGAGTGCAGTGCGCTGGCTGCAGAAGCCCCCACCCCTACGGAGGGCTCCACTGATCCCACATGGGGCTCTTGGAATACAGGTCGAAAACAACTTGTTCAGAGGCAGAGAGAGGCCTGCCCTGGCCTCCAGCCTGGTATCTTGCTCCACCAGGGGTTCCCTTTTTGCTGTTGAAGGGAGGCAGCAGTGCCCCCATGTTTGTTTTGGAAAACCAGCCATGACCTCACACTTTCTTTCCCATCGCCTTCAGGAGCAAACTGCTGGGATTTGGTGGCTGTGAGCACAGGGCCCACGCCCAACAAAAACAGCCTTGTCTGTCTAGGAGGCTCCTTACTGCTTAGCTAAGGAGCAGAGGTTCTGGGACTGTGGCTTTGAACCAGCCCAGCAGGCAGGTCCCTGGAGCACTTTGTAAACCCAGGAAGGGCCGTGAGTACACCCAGGGCATCTGGGCTTACCTGTGGCCAGGCAGATTTTCCATGGTTGGCCTGTGGTCACTGCGCTCTGGGGCAGGATGCTCCTCTCCTGGCTGAGCAGGCTCTTTTCGCTTTATTTGTCCTCTCCACTGGCCTCGTTTCATCTGCTGCTTGGCCTACTGTGTGCTTAGTCGTCTGTGAGTCCTGCAGCTCTCCGCTTGGTGCACGCGGGACTCCCCTGGGGCTGCCCCCGAGGCTGCTGCAGCTGGGCTGGGGGCAGCCGGGACATCAGGGCTTCTCCAAGTCCCCCAGGAGACTCCAGTGTTTCACCATGGTTGAGAATTACCCATTTAGTCTCCTGAACTGGACAGCTAGCATAATTCAGAAGGGAATAGTTTATTCCCAAACTCAAATCATAGTTCTTTGTTGTCATATGCCTTTATGGAATTGTCACTGGGAAGATGTCCTGCTTTTACACTAGGGTTTTGTTCTCTTCGTGCCAGAACATCAGAACATGTGGTTAAATGTGAATGTGTTCATCAGAGACAAGCTCTCAATGCCAAGGTCCTGGTCAGGAAGCGGGCTTGACGGGGGACACAGATCCTGGGCTGCCCCCGAGGTCATGCGCTGGGTGCTCGGTGCCCAGATCGGACTGCAGTTGCCACTTGGTTTTCCAAATTGCTGTTTCCACTGTAAGAGAATTCTAAATATCAGGAGGATGGGATGTGGACTGCATTACCATTTTCTTTTTCTTTTTTAAAAATTTAACTGCATTTTGAATCCAACTTATATAGATTATAGTGAGGTAAATACAGTAAAACCTTTTTGGGTTTGTAGAAAGTCTGAAATACATAGAGGCATTTCTTTTTAAGTCCTTGAGCTTTGTAGTTGATTCAGAAAGAACACTGCTCTGACTTGAAACCCCACCCTGACTTGGGGATCACCTTCTTTGCTTTAATGAATGCAGACTTTGTCTTTAGGAATGCCCAGACTATCGGAATTCACAAACATCAGAATTGGTTTGTGAATTTAAAATAATGTTGTTAATATCCTATAATGTATGTCCATTGTGAACTTCTAAAAAATATAGGATCATGTGAAGAATTTCTTATTGGCATTTCCATAAATATTACACATAATTCCACCACCCAGTTGTAACCACTGTCAGTTTAGATATTAGCTTGTTTCTAGAAATAGCTCCTGTAGTTACCCAGTTATGTAGATAGGTATTTAAACATTCTGTGACATGATAATGAACATGCAATTTTGAATGATGTGTTATTAATATTTAATGTGTCAAGCATTTCCATGTCATTAAAACATTCCAAACTTTTTTTCCAACTGCAATATGTCATTTATATGGATGCATTTTAATTTTCCAATTTTTCTCAATAGTGATGTGACATCCATTTTGTTGTGTTTTTTTCATTTTTCAAGTTATTTTTCAAAAATAGATTCCTAGAATTTCTGGATCAGAGAATTTTGTGTGTTAATAATATTTCATGAAAACACGTGACTGCTAATGATTATAAAGCAGGGACTGTGGTGAGAATTTTATCCAAAGTGTCCCCAAAATTTTAGTGGAAAACAGGATCGTCCAGCGACTTAGTTTCAGGAATCCTGGCCTCACTTCAGCCAGGTGACCCACTGGTAACACTGTTCTGTCTTCTTTTCATGGTTCGTCTCCAGGACCCAGAGATGCAGTGCTTGCTGCTGTCTGACGGGAAGGGCTCCATCCAGCCGAACCACGTTGTCATCGTCCGGGGGGACAGTGGGAGTGGCACAGCGGCCATCAGCTTCACAGGGGCCTTGAAAATTCCAGTAAGTAACAGAGCCTTCGGAGTTTCAGAAAGAGCTACCGGTGCTGCCTGTGAGAAGTCTGTTCTATTGATAATCAGACTTAAAAAAAGAAATCTATGATTACAGACTCCGTGGATTAGAAATGCATAGCACAAACCATCGAGACCGAACATGGCAGCAGTGGTGTTTTGTTTGCCTCGTACTATGCGTGAATTTTTTTGAAATGAGTTTGCTCCATTTAGAAATTCAGAAAGTTCACAGAATTTCTGAAATAAGGCTTCCTGTCTTCACTTGAAAAACAGACAATCTGGCTGCACTGGGCCTGCACCCCACGTGACAGAGGTTGGGGAGCCCCACGCCTCCCTGGGGCACTTGCCTTCCCAAAGGCCTTGGGAGTGAGCTCTGAGAGGCCCTGTCACTGGGTCCCCTTCTGTGGCCTTAAGTAAGCCCAGCTCAATTTTCTTTTCCCTTTAAAGTGCCTTTGGTTACACAAACCGAGGTCTGATTGCCCTGGGCACGTAAGGGAAAAATAAAAGCGGCTGCAGAGAGAGAAGCCTTAGGGCCCAGGAATTTGGCATGCTGGTCCTCCGTGGGCGGCTGGCCCTGCCCCTGCGTGGACAGGCGTGCACAGCGCCCCTGGGTGAGCCTTTGCAGCAGGTGAGGGGGCGGGGGTGTGCAATGGTGAGATTTCTTGCTGCTTTAGATTTCTCTTGTGTTAAATCCACGGGCTCCCTCGGCAGAGACTCTGAAGAGCTAAGCACAGGACATGGAAAAGCAGCGTTCTCTAACGGGGTGAGCCATGGAGGGTGACAAAGGCAGGGCCAAGAGCCGGAGCAGGTGGGGGGACAGGCCCTGCTGTGTGGGCTGGGCCGGGCTGTCCAGGTCCTTGTGCTGCCAGGCCGGTGCCCGAGGGCACTGACAGCCACACGTGGCTCTGCTCACCAATGAGACCAGCAAGAAAAGCAGGGGCGGGGAGGGGGGTGCAGTGCACCCTGGAAGTATAAACATTAAAATAACATCACAGAAATGAAAGGGCTGCGAACTTCTGCTTCGGAACAGAAAGAAGCTTTAGTGCCCGGAAGAAACTGGGTCTGCAGAGGCGGCCCCTGGAGACTCTCCAGTGGGAGGAGAGCGGTGGAGCCCAGGCCCGGGCAGCAGAGCCCTGGGGAGGTCACCGTGGGCTGGCCTGTGGAAGCTGCTGGTTTTAAATTAGAAGTTATTTTTAAAATTGTGTTCTTAATAACAACTAGTAACTTTGCTGTACCACACTCCGCAGCTGCCCCAAATCCTTTTGCTAAAGTAGGGTGCACACAGGTTATATAAATGCAGGTTCCACAGTGGCCTTGTGGACAGCACAGGTGTCACTGGCCTGGCCTGCCTTAACCCTCGCCCTGCCCCTGCGGACAGGGGTCCCAGGCCAGCATGGCGCGGCTCTGGGCCCCCATCACCTCATCTGCAGTAGCTGCCCCGTGCCCGGTGTGATCCTTTGTGTTCTGAGGATGGAGAGGGATCACAGTGCTAAGCACGGTGCCAGGCACGGGGTGAGCGTGCAGATCGCACACACGCCCTCACACGGTGCGTCAGCGCGAGAACATCGACTCGTTCAGTTTGAAGACCATGTGGGGAGATTGAGCGCTGTGCTCTTGGCGCAGTGTGGAGGGGCTGGGGAGGGGCAGTTCAGTACCTCAGTGTCGCTGGGTTTTCACACCCAGATTTTCCAAATGGAATTGTCATCTCACAAGTGCCACCTCTTTCTAAAAGCAGACAAAACATGAAACACAAACGCGTTTCACAGAACTCACTGAACTCCAAACCTCGTTTCCTCCGTAATCCGTTTTCTCTTCTCACTGTTCCCGGCACCGGCTGGTTTGTTACGCACAGGAGGGCGCACCGCAGCCCGCAGGTCCGTGTGTCTGACGGAACAGGCGAACTGGGTTGCTCTGTGTGTTTCCGGGTCACTGGATCATTTGCAGTTTCAGTTCCAGGGAGAAATAAATGGCCATTAAATGCTTAGTAAGCAGGTGACGCCGCCATGGCTGCGATCACCACATCTCCTGCAATAGCTGAGTTTTCCGAGTGACGTACGACCAGAATCAAACCAGTACATTTTTATTGACTTTAATCTGATGTAGAGACGTTCAGTTTCAATCTTAAAAGGCAGCCTCCATTCAGAAATTCACAAATTTCTTAGACAAATAGGGCTTCACTTGAAAAATGGAAAATCTGGCTTCCCTGGGTGTGTACCCCACGCGACAGCGATCGGGGAGCTGAGTCTGTGCCCCTGTGGTGTGTACCCCACGTGACAGTGGTCGGGGAGCTGAATCCGTGCCCCCCCGGTGTGTACCCCACGTGACTGGTTGGGGAGCTGAGTCCGTGCCCCGCCCCCGGGTGTGTACCCCACGTGACAGTGGTTCGGGAGCTGAGTCCGTGACCCCCGCACCTCTTAGGGCAGCGCCCTCCCTGGCGGCAGTGGGTCTCCCTCTGTCAGCTCCCCCACCATTCCATGTCCTCGTTGCGTTGTACAGCAACCCCTTACCCTCCTATGCACGTGTGGAGGTGCCGAAGCCAGACCGCAGACACAGGCTGTTCCCACGGGGATGAAGTCATCTGTAACATATGTACGGACACCTGCCGAGTGCACATTTGAGGGAAACACCAGCTCTCTCTTCCAGGGTGTGATAGAGTTCTCGCTGTGTCTGCTGTTTGCCAAGCTGGTCAGCTACACATTTCTCTTTTGGCTCCCGCTCTACATCACAAACGTGGGTAAGTGACTGCTGCTGGGACACACACGGCAAGTCTGGGGCAGTGGCCGTGACCTGAGCTGTCTTCCATCTGCTGGTTTCTCTAGTCTTGGAAACACAAGGCCACACGTGGTGATTTGAGAGGCATACTTTAGAATTAAAAACATGCTTAAACATAGACAAAGAGAATTTGAATATGCAAGTTTTATTGCCATGGCAATAACCTTTATGGGGTTTAAAGGTTGACTTGCCATGTCCCAGCTATGGCTACCAACTCCGTGGGGTGCTTCCTGTAAGGGGACAGCCTGCGTTTAAATTTGGGCTGTGCTGGACTTCGGATCACAGCAGAGCAGAGCCTCTGGGGATCTGAGCTAATCAGGCCTTAATAATCTGACCTGGAAATTGCTTCTGGGAAATGCGTTCTAATTTTAGGGAGGGCTGATGGTTTGCCTTACGTTTCGGAAGTCCCACAGTGGCTGCAGCTATAGATCATGACAGAACATACCAGTAAAATAATACGTGCACACCCCATACTGTGTGCGACCACAACGAGAAAGACAAGGCTGGTTCTTAAGTGAAGGGGACATTGAGCGGAGGAGGCTGAGAGGGGTGGAACGGTCAGGGCACGCTTGGGAGCCTCTTGGCCCCAAGAGCAAGGAGGAGAAGGGACCAGGGTCGGCAGGGAGGTGCAGGCTCTGGCGATGCAGCCGGGAAGAGCACAGAGCACCAATTTCACATGGGAGCGGAAGGAGAGTGGAGATTGACGGGTGCCCGAGACTGCAGGGCTGGACACCCCGGCGGAGTTGAGACAGTAGCGAGGGAACCACCTACAGGCACCCCCAGCAGGGACAGGGCGGGCAGCTGGGCGACAAGGAGCGCCCTGGGGTTCGAGGTTCCTTCCCTGTCCAGCGGCCCCCCCGACCCATTTCGGCAGGTGAGCTGCATATAGTCTGGGCAGGACGGGCCTTGGCAGACGGGCGATGTGCGTTCTCGCTTCCTTTATTCCCCAGGGATGACAAAGGGGGGTGTATTTTTAGGACTCCAGTCTCGAATCACTAGCATTTCCAGTCTGAGTGAGTGAGAGAAAAAAGCCACGTTCCCTGTTTGTGCTGTTGAGGTTTAGGGAAGGCCGGGTTTGAGGTCAGCCCCAGCCGCTTCCCAAAGCTCGGTTCTCCTGTGCTGGATCTGGCGCAGAGTCCTGACCGGGTGACCTGAGGCCGGCTTTCCTGGTCTGTAGTGTAGAAGGTTCTGGTCCCTTCCGTATCTGCAGTCTCCTGGTCACACGGTGTGTCGAGGTGCCTGGGCTCGTTCTCCAGGCGGCTTTCATGGCCCACTCTGTCCCCTGTTGATCTAACTTCAGCGCTGCCCTGAGGGGCGGCCGAACCACCGTGGGATGGTGATTAGCCTGCTCAGGGCACCCCCCGGTCTGGGTTAAGAGCATTTCATCCTGTCTGTGCTCCTCCTTTTTCTACTCTGAGTTAACCAATGACCGCTCCTTGGTATAAATCACGCTCATGGAACAGAGAGCCTTGTGTGGGGTCTCAGGCTACGGCGAGGGAGCGTCCTCCCTGACACGCGTGCAAGAGCGCGTCCTTGTGAGCTCACACCGTGCTGTTGTCTTAACAGATCACCTGGATGCCAAAAAAGCCGGGGAGCTCTCCACCTTGTTCGACGTGGGCGGGATCTTCGGTGAGTTCCTGCCCCTTGGACAAGAACGTACAGTCCTGTAAGCACCTGTGGCCCTCGAGCTCCCTGAGTACCTGTTGCTGAGAGGGACCAGTGTTCCTGGAGTGGACTCAGCCCCACAGAGTTAGGCCGTCACTGGGCGGGGGGTCCTCTCTGTCTTCCTGGGCCCTGAGTCTGCATCTGAACGGCTTCATCAGGGACAGCACGCCTCCTCGGGAGGGGACAGGCTGGCGATGTTCAGACCCTAACAGGGGAAGGGGCTTTGGGGCTGGCCTAAAACCCAAAGCCCAAGGCTACCCCCTGCTCTGCTGGGCAGTGCCTCCCACCCGCACCTCTGACCACAGTGAGGGTGGCCTGCTGGGAGGTCAGGCCCGGGAAGGCTGCCCACTGGCGGTGCACGTAGAGAGGGTTTGGGAAGGAGGCGTTCCCCGGCTCCTGCGATGGTTCCTCCCGATGGGCTCACCCGGACATAGCGCCTGAGCCTGGCCCTCTCTGTTGCAGGTGGAATCCTGGCCGGTGTGATCTCGGACCGACTGGAGAAAAGGGCCTCCACCTGTGGCCTTATGCTGCTGCTCGCAGCCCCCACGGTCAGCCTCCACCTACCGCCCCAACGCCGCATGCAGCCTCCTGGCTGTCCTCCTCCCGGCAGCACCCGCTTCCATCTGGCCCACACTCCGCTTTCCTGGTGGCTCCTACCTCCTGGCCTCCGAATCCCTCCCTGGGCCTGGCGGGGCTCCCTCCACCCTGCGCCCACCCCTGCACGTATGGGCGTCCATCGTGGGCAAGGCACAGGCTGCTCCTCTCTTTCGGGTGCCCCTGCCCCGGACAAGCTCAGGCTCCTGCCGTCCTCTGGGATGCCTGACACCCCCACCCCCAGGCTCATGGACCCCTCTCACCATGACACTGGTTCCTGCTACTTTCCAAGCTCATGACCTTGGGCAAGTGACTTCCCCTATCTGTGCCTCAGTTTCCTCATAGAAAAATGAGACTGACAGTAACACCACCGTATAGTGTGGCTGTGAGGATTAAATTAAATAATAGCTCATTACTGTCTTTATCCTGATACTTTAGAGGTAATCTCATTGCTCACCGCCTCGCGTTGCACTTGTCTGCACATCTGCCCTCCACGAGGCTGTGGCTGTCCCCGGGACGAGGCCCAGTTGTCAGGCATCTTGGGGCCTTGGATGCTGCCAGACACAGGTGCTCAAAGGACATTTAGTAAAGATGTGACTGAGTGGGCCACTTGCTGTGAGGACTCTCATGCCCCCAGGCGCAGCTGTTCAGGGCAGACAAACACCTGAGGACCGCAGTCAGACTGCCAGATAAGCTCAGGGAAGGCTGCCCCAAACCAAGTACATCAGTGCGGTGGGAGCACCCCGCAGGGCCCCCAGGTCGCCTGGGGCACTTGGTCCAGAACCCGCGCTGCTGGGACAGGGCCCGGTGCCTGTTTGCCAAGCACCCTCGAGTGCTGTCTTCAGACAGGCTAGGTAGGGGATGTGGCCTCTACTCTTTTTTTAGGGGTTTTCACTCTCAGGGTGGCTGCCAGGGAATCACCTCCCTGGCTTTCAGAAGTGTAGATTTCTGGGCACCCCTGCTGCTACAGTGAACCATCGTTTGACCCTGTTCTTGCCCTCTTCACAGCTCTACACGTTCTCCACCATCAGCAAAATGGGGCTGGAAGCCACTGTAGGTAAGTACATGAGGCCTTTCTTTTCTTTCATGCACATTTTTTATTTGCAAGCTTGATGAGGTTAAATATGAAAATCAACAGAGAAGCATTGAGCTGGTATAACTGGAAACATGGTGTGGCCGAAATTGTCCCCATGACCCTCTTTGGGTGAGGCCATCAGAAGAGGCTGGGGACTCCAGCTCCCAGGGGAAAGGCCTGCCAATCTGCAGGTATGAGCCCGAGTGTGGGAGAGTACAGACCTGGCCTAGAGCAGGAGTGAGCCCTGGGCACCCAGGGAAAGGAGCCACTCAGAGGACCCAGGTGTAACCTAGAGGGCAGCCCCTCCTGTGGTCTCTGCGGGGCTGGCAGGGCTACAGGAGCCTGAGACCTGCACCCCTGGTGGTGAGAACAGCCCAGCTGGCTCCTGGGCCATGGCAGGTGGCTAGGAACCTGGCGGTGTGACCTAAGCCATGTCCAGCCAGGAGCCGGGGCAGAGACAGGCTCCCAGTCCACCTCCTCCCACCTGGCTTCTGTCGGCCGCCACTCCCCATAATGTAGGAGAACTGTTAGTTTCCTGCAGGCAGTGCTATGGAATTATACCTCCAACACTTAGCAAATGTTCCTGCTGTCCTAGCAAGCCAGGAGCGGGGATGTGTGTGATCCCACTAAAAGTTATCCAGAAAGCAGCGTGCAAGGGGAGCACAGGGTTTCCTGGGACCCTTCAGGCCAGAAGTTTCCTCACAGGAATGAACCCAGAGCTAGTTTGGGAAGGTGACCTTGCAATTCACAGAAAGTGGGGTCATCCTGCCTGTGGCGAGTGCGCTGCCGCAGTGATGAGAGGAAGTCCTTTCTGCTGCAAGTAAAGCTGTGGCTAGTTTTAGCATCCACTGGACACAGACCCCAGGTCAGGGTCCTCGCTCCTCCTGGCATGGCCACGGCCGCTGCCCACTGAGGGCCGAGGGGCCTGAGTCCAGGAGCTGGGTCCGTGGGAGGGTACGTCTGCACTCAGGAGGGCCACACTAGGCAAGGCTAGAGGAAGGTGTTTCTGCGGCACCCCTCCCGCGATCCGTGGGCCGCCTTTCCCGCGCCTGCCTGCGTTCCGCTCAGGCCAGGATGCGTCTGCCTGGGCGTGCTGAGATGCGGGGCCCTCCCAGAGTACACGGTTCCATCTCAACCCCCTTCTGCTTCCCACAGCGATGCTGCTGCTCAGCGGGGCGCTCGTCAGCGGGCCCTACGCGCTCATCACCACCGCCGTCTCCGCCGACCTGGTGAGTGCAGCTGCAGGGGAAACGCTGGCCCCATAGTCACCCCCCACTCGTGACAGGGACAGGCTCCACTAGTAAAGCCGTGTACTTGTATAAGCATCTCTTTTGCAGACAGCCAGTCTGTGGTCTCAAGAGTCTGCCCGCACCTGTCCCGCTCCCACCCTTCTCTCAGAGTCAGGGGCAGGTTGGCCCGAGAGACCCACCGTTCAGAGCGACAGAGGCCCTCCTGCTCTGTCCTCGTCATCTCAGGCTCCTTCTCCCTCCCAGGAGAGGCAGAGTTCCTCCCCGCCGGGTCAGCGGAGAGAACATGGGCGGGGCTTTTCTCATCTCCATCCCACCACGTCCTCAAAACAGAGCAGCGGCAGACCACCTTTGTGTTGGGCAGGCATGTCCTTGGGTGGCATGGAAAATTCTGGACAGATCCACACCAGACCATTAACAGCGATCAGCCCTCATAGGCTAGAAGCAGAGAAGGGACTTTCACTTCTTTTTTAGACTCCAAAAAGAGTAAATTATGGATGATTTTCATAGTGTGTATACTTTATTTTATATTATATACGTATCACATACACGCACGCATTTAATTTTTCCAGCTCTGGTTTATTTTTATAGTTTTAGGTTTCCAGGCACTCCTTTTCCTGGTTTTTTTTCCTTTTATTGTCCTCAACTTGCGTTTTTTTCCTCCAACCTTACACATGTAGCCGGACCTCCTGTTGGCTGGTCATTAGGACTTGCACCCCGGCCACCCCACCTTGGTTTCTTGGGTTCTCCTCCCCTCCCCACCCTCCCCTGGCGTTGCCGCTAAGCGGTTGGTTTTTAGATACTGCAGAGATGTCTGGCCCTGTGTTGAGGGGTACAGTGGCTGTTGACACTGGCACAGATTAGGGACAGGGACGTATGTCATTCATCTTCTCATCTTTCACACCTCTGTGCGGTGCCTCCGCGAAGGCTGTGATTGTGCTGATAAATATTTATTTGAGGAGAATCCAAAGAGTTCTTTTAACTGGAATGTGCGTGGACATATATTTCTGATGATTTTTGACTCCTAAAAACCCTTGAAACTTTCCTTACCTCTCCAAGGTAAGCTTATCGTGGAATGGAGTTTAAACCTTCTAATGGAAAGTAAACCTTCTAATGTGGCACTGTTCTGCAGAGCCGTTCGAGTGAGTTGTCATGTGGGGGGCACAGGCTTATGTCTCACTTCTAGTGCTGCTGAGACGTGGTTCCCATTTGCTCTTCCTCTCTTCTAGGGGACTCACAAGAGTCTGAAAGGAAACGCCCACGCCCTGTCCACTGTGACCGCCATCATCGACGGGACTGGGTCTGTAGGTGCGCAGAAACGCTTAGCGCCGAGGGGTTCACTGTGCTCACAGGGGAAAGCCCGTTGTCACATCCTAACAGGTGCCCAGGATCCCAGTTGCTTTGGTGTGCCAGGATCGGCTGGCCCCTTAACCGTGAGCAGATCCACAGGGGACATTGGTGCAAACTGTCGAGTGCGGTCGGGTGGCTTCAGAAGGAGGGGGCGTGTGTCAAAGTGGGTGCGTCCTGGTTTAATCTGAGGCAACAGTTAGCAAACTGCAAACCACGGGCCAAATCTGGTCCACTGACTATCACTGTCATTTCAAAAAGGTCAGAAACCTACTTATATTTAAATTATACGAAAACTAGCAGATCCAAAAACACACAAGATTCCGAATGTTACCAGCCTTGTTGAGGTTCTTGAAGAGACTCCGGTAGCATGTTCTGGAGTAAAGAAAGATGGCAAAATAAGCAGCTCAGCCCAGGTGCAGGCAGGTGGGAGTCGGTGACAGGCTGAGCCTCCTCTTGTCAACAGAGGCTGACAGCAATGGCCAGGGCCTTTCTTGAGCCTTCGTGCAAGTGACCACCCCCGCCCGATGAAAGCCAGGATGCTGGCTTCCCGGGGCACTAGCGGCCACACAGCCCTGCCAGGAGCCGAGGTGCCTTTGATCACCCTTTTCCATGTCTGGGAGGTCAGGCTCAGGAGGCTGCCTGGTGTGGCTGCCACAGCTGATCAGGAGGATCATGGGCAGCGGCCTGGCGTGTCACCTGCGGTCCAGGCTCCCAACCCAGGGGACGGAGCGAGAGGGCCGGCAGGTGGGAGGGACTGGGAGTCTCACAGCAGTGAAGGCCAGCGTGTGCCAGACGAAGGCAGCTCAGCTGGAGCCCAGCACTCGGGCTTTCCTGCTGCCCGCCTGGGAAGCTGATGTTCTCCTCTTGTCTGGCCCCATGGCCTCGGTGCTGGCAGGATGGGAGACATCAGAGCACGTTTCTGGCACCCACTGGTGTCTCATCAGTGCAGAATCCAAAGTCCTTCCCACCACACAGCCTCTCCGCTGCTCCTCAGCACCAGGCCCCGCCCCTCACAGGGCTTTGCTGGGCTGTGCCCCGTCCCTGAGAAGGTCCCCCACCGGCAGTCTCAGGCCACACTTGCTCGTGCCCTCGGAGAATTTGCTCAGATGCCATCCTCTCAGTGAGACCCTCTCATACCACCCCGGTGAGAACGTACGAACCCTGCGAACCTCCTCACCAGACTCCAGCCTCTCTCCTGTGGTCTGCTCTTGTCCAGAGCACGGCCTGTTCCAAAACAGCGCTCAGCCAACTCCTCTGCTCTGTGCTGTTGGCCGTCCTCCGCTTGGTGGAAGCTGTGAGGACAGGACTTTGCTTTGCTCTCTGCCGTAGCCCCAGGGAGCCCAGTCCACTGGCTGGTCCCAGGCAGCCAGAGTTGTAGGCAGGGGCCCTGCAGTCAGGCTCACAGGAGAGGAGCCAGGTCAGAGAGGCCCAGCCCACGCTCTTGGCCCCGTTTCTAAGGCTTCACGTGATGGATCTGGCTGGTTCTGAGAAGCGCTGGGCAAGGCCACTGTTGTCCAGAAAGCTGGGCTTTGGCCTTCACTGCTCGCTGAAGTGAGACCAGCCCCGTTTTTGTCCTTAATGTTGGTTCCTTCATTTTGTTCGATGTGTTGTGTCGTGTTGGTGGTCACCCCTCTGGTGTCTCTTTTCAGAGCTCCTCTTGGGGCCTGGGGGCATGTCCAGGGAAAAGGAGGGAGGAGCTGAGGTGCTGTACCTGGGGACCCTGCACGGAGTGGGCCGAGTTCCCCGCTCACCTAGCCCCTGAGGACCTTTGGCCTGGAGAACACACTCAGTGGCCAGGCAGGAGAGCTGGGGCTGAGCTCGGTCCTAGTGGACCCTGTGACTGAGTGGCCGTCCCTCGGCCTTCTGTCCAGGAGGCCTTTGTGAATCATCTGACTCCCACCGGGAAACTCCTTCACAGCTGACCTGGAGCTCTGCGGGAGGCCCTCATTGCTATTTTAAAGCAGAGAATAGGAGGGGAAAAAAAGAAAGAAATTATGAATTAGGTAAAAAAACACATTTTTCTTTACATTCTTCTCAAAATGAGAGGGAAGCAGAAGCCTGTGGCTGAGAGTGGGGACTCTGTGTCTTTGAACGGATGGCCATCGGCCACTGCTTCCGAATGCATTTGCCCAGCCCACGAGGGGGGCAGGGGCCGGCTGGGACCGTGTGACCGTGGGCAGAGCAGCTGCACCCACCTTGGTTTCTGCAGCACTTACGTGGGGGGTGTGATCATGATGGGGCGACCCCTCCAGGCTGTGCCAGCCACCTGGCCACTCTGCCTACCAGTGAATGGTCGCCACGGAAACAGCATGCATGTGTCCACCACTGCATCCCAGCAGTTATTTCTGCCGCGAGTGCTGCCCAAGGCAGAAGCGAAAAAAGACCCCAGTGGAAAGGCACGCCATTGCTGCAGCAAGCCCGATCCCAGGAGCATGCCCCGGTGCGTTTGCTCAGTGTTCACATCCGTAGTTGGCACGGGCCTAGGTGGAGGCAAAGCTTGACTAATCGGAAGGCAGCCAGCGCCTTCTTAACAGAGTGCAAGTGCCACAGAGGTCAAATGACACGAGTCTGTGTGTGCAGTGGGTTCACAGTGCTTGGAATCGCCTCCTGGAGGGATGCAGGTCTCGCCATTTCTATACGTTTTATGCAGAGCAATTAAATGTAGCCCTGCGTTTTTTCAAGTTAATTTCTATTTTATCAAAGTAAAACACAATGTAGCCTTAGAAGCCAGGTAGTCCTACTAGCTGCTTATGATGCAAAATGGCACTCCCGCACCCGCCCCTCGGCCGCTCTTACTAGAAGCAGTCACTTTCAGCTGCTTCCTCGCATCTCACCTGCGTACCTGCGTGCCTCCCAATTCATAAGTTTGGACCTTACGTGCTGTCCTGCAGCAAGACAGGACTGGGCTCCTCTACCCAACGTTCCCTGCCCTCCGCCTCCCCAGTGGGGCTATGCTAATGACGGTCGCATCCCAAGGAATAAACTTTCAGTACACATCTTCCGTATACACACTTTGCTTTATCCGTGAGCTAGCAGTGCCTCATTTTTCTCTTTTGTTTGAATTTCCTACACGGCTACTCCCACCCTCTGCACCACCACCAGGTTCCGCTCGTCCTGCCCTCCCCTGCCCTCACGCCAGGGCCTCCTGCCACCAGCTACACGGCTCTTACCTGGGACTCTGTCACCAGCGTCCCACCGTCCCATTTCTTGCTTGCATCGGAGCCTGGTTTCTAGATGCCTGTTTGCTACTCTTCTGTGCTGGACAGGTATTCTAGTAGCTTCCTGAGTTGAGGGGGTGAATTCTGAGAGCTTGCAGGTCCCTCACTCGAGGCAGTTTGGATGTAGAAACTCCTCCCTCAGAATCCCAGCATCCCCCGGGTCCCACTGCCGTCACGAGAAGTCCGTTGTCGTTCTTGCCCCGTCCTTCGCTGCTGGCCTTTTCTTGTTTCTGGGCGACCTCCAGGGTCCCTCCTGTGTCCCTGGAGCCTTTCTTCATCCACTGTGCCCCGGGCACCTGCTCAGACTGGAAACACCGCCCTTCACTTTGGGGGACCTAGCTCTGTTACTTCTTTGATAACTTTTCCCTACGTTTTTCTGTTTTTTCTTTCTGGAAAACTTATTAGTCAGATGTTGGACTTTCTGGATTAATCCTTCGATTTTCTTTTCTTTCTTTAGTTCCCTTCCTGCCTGTCTCCTGTTCTTCTACTTTCTCCGAGATGTTCTTGACTTTATTCTCCACCTCTGTACTGGCCTTCTTACTTTTCCCTTGGTGTTTTCAATGGTCACTGATGTTTTTCTGTCCCTTTCGCGCATCCTGTCTTGCCTCTTGGGTGCACTGCGTGTGAGACCGAAGCGTGCATAGTTGCTGATAATGCACATGTTTCCACCTATAAAACTGAGAGTGTCATACAGTTCAGCCTAATTTCTGCTGGCTCTCTGAGGGAACTATAATTTCCTGGGAATCTTCTCTCTTGTGTGTTAACTTCATCTAGGTTTGCTTTCACGTGGAGGCACTCCTCAGACACAGGGTGAATCTCGCCGTCCCTTCGTAGCTTCACACTTAAGAACGAGCCACTGAGTCGTTACCCGAAGTCCTTTCTTCATAGGAGAGTGTGCTGGCTGCTGGTCTTCCCGGGGGTGGGATGCAGCCAGGAGCTGGGGAGACGCCTTCAGTGTCTGCGGGGAGTGCGGCCCCACAGCCGCCCTCTTGTCCTTGTGTGGGGCCGTGGCGGCTGCTGGGTAGCAACTGGTGTCTTTCCCTGGGTCCCCTCTTCTCAGTTGGGTGCCTCACCCCTGCCCTAGTCTTGGTGTCACCAAAAGTTAAATTCTCCAAAGGTTAAGCTGCTGCTGTCCTTTGAGTGGGGTGGAGTGGGGGTCACTGGATCAGTGAGGGCCAGGAGAGACCTAGGATCGGAGGAGGGATGGGGGAACGTACCTAGCAGTGTGTTATAAAAGATTCAGCCAAGGCCCCTTTTTCTTCCGCTGCCACCTCCCTTCCGGCCTCCCCTCCCCTGCCTCGTGTTCTTGGCTGGGCCTGGCTCTGCTCGAGGCGTCCTTGTGCCATCTCCCTGCTGGGACAGGCAGCCTGGCAGGGAGCACTGGAGCCTGTGTCAGTCGTCAGCCCTTTTAAGTCCGTCTTCCAGAAGTGTGCGCCTTCTCCCATCTGCACTTCTCTTTGTGATTTACCATTTTAAAAACACAATTATGGTCCATTTCATGGTGTTTGGGAGGTGTGGGGATAACACACAGGAACAGTCTACCATGTTTACCTGGAAGTTCTGAGAGTTAAAAAAAATACTTACGGGTATTTCTCAGGTTATAAGACTAGTGAGTGTGCTTTGTAAGCAAAATCAGTGTATACAGAGTATGAAAGACCCCAGTAAGCCCACCTCTCAGAGATTAAATTGCAGTTAATAACTTGGTGACAATTCTTTGTGCTTTTTACCATGTATCTATTAATATCAAGACCAGCCAGCCTACACATGTATCAGAATTTATTCCAATCCCTCTTAGTAAATATACCAAACTGCTGCAACAAACATTTTATACAGCTGTCTTTGGGCATTTGGGGAGATACTTGCTTTCTTTCATTTTTATAGTTTTTGAAAATTATTTGGACATAATTTTAGACTTGGCAGAAAAGTTGCAAACCGAGTACAAAGAATTCCCAGGCAGTTTAGTTCATGCACTTTATATCATGCACGTCTCATGTATTTTACACACACACACATGCGTACCCATGCATATGTTTTCTGAGCCACTCAAGAGTGAAATGCAGGCCGGGCGCGGTGGCTCACGCCTGTAATCCTAGCACTCTGGGAGGCCGAGGCGGGCGGATTGTTTGAGCTCAGGAGTTTGAGACCTGCCTGAGCAAGAGCGAGACCCTGTCTCTACTAAAAAAAATAGAAAGAAATGATCTGGACAACTAAAAATGTATAGAAAAAATTAGACGGGCATGGTGGCGCATGCCTGTAGTGCCGGCTACTCGGGAGGCTGAGGCAGGAGGATTGCTTGAGCCCAGGAGTTTGAGGTTGCTGTGAGCTAGGCTAATGCCACGGCACTCACTCTAGCCAGGGCAACAGAGCGAGACTCTGTCTCAGAAAAAAAAAACAACAACAAAAAAAAAAAAGAAACGAGTGAAATGCAGACATGCTGCCCCTTTACTTTTAACTATTCAGTATGCGCTCCCTGAAAACAAGGAATTCCCTGATAGAACCACAGGGTGGGAATCAGGAAGTGAACATTGATAGAGTGTTAGTAGTAGTGTCCACAAATCTTGTCCAAATTTTGCTCGGTAACATTCTTTATAGCACAAAAAAAAAAAATCTAAGATTGTGCATTGGATTCAGATTTCTTTACAGTACATTCAAAATAATAATAGGAGCGTTGGATCAAAAGAATGAGCATTTCAAATGTCAACATACGTTTGTTTTTAGGATTGGTTCCAGAAAAAGGCTGTGCCAACTATACCCCCCAGTCCTGAGTAGGACTGGGTACTACTCAGTGTCCTTTATCTGGAATGCTTGGGCTCAGAAGTGTTTGGGATTTCAGATTTTTTTCTGTTTTTGATTTTGGAATATTTGCATTATAGCAGTTGAGGATCCCAAATCCAAAAATCCAGAGTCCAAAATGCTCCAGTGAGCATTTCCTATGAGTGTCATGTCAGTACTCGAGAAGTTTCCAGTTTCGGAGCATTCTGGATTTTTGGATTTAGGATGCTCAACCTACATTCAGCTTTTTACCCCCTTACCTATCTGATAGGCAAAAATGAGGTGTTATTGTTTTATGTGTTTTTCTTTAGTTATGAGTGAGATATTGAGCATCGTTCTGTGTATTTATTAAATTGCTATTTGTCAGAGTTTCCCTGAACGGCACCAAGCGTATCCTTTTGCCTCGTTTCAGGAGCGGCCCTGGGCCCCTTGCTGGCTGGGCTCATATCCCCCTCTGGATGGAGCAACGTGTTCTACATGCTGATGTTCGCAGATGCCTGTGCCTTATTGGTGAGTCTTCTTGTTTTTAATCCAAGCCTCTTTGCACGAGCATCTCTGTGGTTGTTGGCCAAAGACTGGCAAAACTTTTTCCTGTGGATTCCTGCAGTTCTCAGGGAGGTTTGGGTCCTTCTGTCTTTCCTAAATGTAACTAGTCCAAGGCCCTTTCTCTCTCTAGTTAAAAAAAAAAAAAAGAAGAAGAAAAAGATCAGAAGCGGATCAGCCCATTGCTCTGTAGTTTCAGACAGGATGGTTCAAAGGCCAAGCGCATGGACCTCTGTGGCTCTGGGTCCCACCCGTCACCTGTCATGTGCAGCTTAGGCAGGTTATGCAGCGTCTCTGCTCTGCAACTTCCGCGCTCCTAAAATGGCATAATGATGGCACCAGCGGCGGGACTGTGGTGGGGATTAAAGGAGATGATGTACGGAGCCCAGCCTCCCAAATGGTGCATGGGTGTCCTGGTGTCCCTCCTGCATCAAGCTCGTCACACTGGAGGTGCAGCCGGGACTCCTTTCACCTGAAGGGGTGGGAGAGGGTACAGGTGCAAAGAGACCGCATGCAGATGCTGAGCCACCCGGCGCTGTCTTCCACCCGCCTTCTCTCCGCACTCCTGCCTCCCGCACGGAGAAGACACTGGGTTTTTTCAGCACGGAGAAGACCAGCGATGATGTGACAGTCACACAAGTGACTCCCACAGGGGCGGCTGTCACGTGCTTATCCTTACAGGTCATCTTGTGCACAGAGTCCCCAGACCTAAAGCCATGTCTCTCCTCTTGCTCCACCAGAAAAAATCTGAGGTTGATTCCAGTAAAAATGAGTTGAGAATTTTAGAAATATCAACTCCACCGATTAAATGAAAGTCTTATATTTTAATTCTAGGACCTCTAAAACACAGCTCCCCCACTGCGTACAAAATCAAATACCAGCTCTCAGCTTACGAACTTAGTAGGATTGAATGGCTGTTCTTCAGATCATTTCGTTCTTTTTAAATGCCTGAGGGCATTAGTTAAGTCTCCAGATGTATTTCCACTAAGTAGCAGTAAAATTTCTTTTATTACGACTGTATAGAGAATCTGAAAACTCTTCTGCTTCAGAAATACCAGGTAATTTGTATTGAACGTTGTTCTAGATGCATAGCTGAACTCCTAAGAAAGTACTGGAATTCCCCAGGAGTCAGCAATGCGGAGGCAACATGAAACACACAGGCCGAGATAGAGCAGTGCAGGGCTGAGTTACCAGCCTCGGGAACCGGGGCTGGGTGGTTGTGCCCATGCCGAATGAGAGACAAGGCGTTAGGCTGGCAGAGATGGGGAGTTGGAACCTGAGACTTCCTCCTACGCCACGACCCTCACAGGCTGTGCTCACAGTTGGAACGTACCAGAGGGCACAGGAAGACAGCCGGAATCGGTGCCCGTCTCAGCCTGCTCACCAGACTGGGCGGGGTGGGGGAATTCCCTGAGAGTTTTTAGCCATAGACCTGCCCACAGTTAGCTTTAACTTTTGAACTTATATAAATAGAAAAATAATAAAATTGGTCCTTGGATGGTGATATACCTGGTTATTAGGCAAAAGCAAATAGGGACAGTCTCATCCCACCTGCAGGAGATTCCTATGGCTAACACCCTAGTGAAGATGAGCACACAGTCCAAAACTGTGGAGCATAAGGAAGCAATCCACTCTGAATGACAGGAACAGACACAACAAATAGCAGAATTGGACCCCAAAAAACCTGCAGATAAAAGTTATCAAATGAACTAAAAATAAATAGATTCAACATTACTGAAGATACAAAAGGAGGAACTGCACTCACGAAAAAAGAGCAAACAAACAAAAGTTCAAGAAATGAAAAATGTGTTTATCTGGGAAAAAATTCAATGAATGGGTTAAAAAAAATAAGATACAGCTGAAGAGAAGATTACTGAAGTAGAATATAGATATGAGGAAATTATCTTTATCCAAAAAGAGAAAGAGATGAAAAATATTAAAGAGAAATTAAATATAAAATGGAGGCCCAAATGAGATGTCCTAATAATATCTAATAGGAATTGTAGAGGAAGGGAATAGACTGGTACTGAAGCAATATTTGAAGAGAAAATAGCTGAGACTTTTCTAGATACACGAAAGACTCATTCTTAGATTCAGGAAAATCAAACAACTTAGAATTCTATACTGAGCTAAACTTGCATTTAAGAGTGAGGGTGAAGTGAGAACATTTTTAACCAAAGAAGCTCCCCAAAAAAGTTGTTAAAGGATGTGTTTAAAGAAGAAAGAAGTTAGATCCAGAAGGAAAGTCTGAGATGCCAGGAGAAATGTGAGCAAAAAAGGTGATATTCCTAAGGATGAATCTAAATGAGTATTGACTATATAAAACGGGTCAGCCACCTGTGGCCTAAATCTGGCCTGTTGTCTGTTTTTGTATGATCCTCAAGCTAAGAATGGTTACATTTTTAAAGAATTATTTTTCTAAAAATCAACAAAGAAGAATATGTAACAGAGACCATATGGCTGCAAAGCCTGAAGGACCTTTACGGAAAAAGCTTGACTCTTGGTTTAAACAACATTGATGACTAATTTGGACAATATAAAAAAGAACCGAAATACTAGACAACCAAAATGTAAGGCACAGTTGAGACAGTCAGCGAAAGCGCTCTGCAGTTCTTGTCTTGTCAACAGAAACAGAGCATGAGACTTTGAAAGCAGGGTGGGGAGGTGAAGACTCGATCAGTCCCAGAGAACCTGGGGCGGGAGGAAGCAGCTGCGGTGTGGGGAAAGCAGAAATACAGAACGAGACGGATGGAAATGATCCCAGCATACCAGTAACCACAGTAACTGTAAATGGACTAGATTTACCAGCTAAGAGCAAAGATTGTCAGGTTGGCTTTAAAAATCCAGACTCCGACTATTTACAAGAAACACACCTGATACATAAGGATTCAGAAGGAAAATAACAACAGGTAAGTGATAACCAGAGGAGGCTGGACTGGCCGTGTGAGAGGAAAGAGACCTAAAACCCAACCATGTCGGGAGATGGAGGTTTGTCGTGGTGGAGGAGGAACAGTCACCAGGAGGTGCGGCAAGCCCAGTGACAGCCAGCTTGAGTTGGTCTTTTCAAACCTAAAACCAGAGAAGCCTTTTTCTCTTTGCTGATCAACGCGCTTTGTGCTATCTTTTCCCCAAAATAGACCAGTTTTTCCCCAAATCTGAGACTGAGAACCTCAGCGATCTGAACAAGTCTCCCAGGATATGTCGGGGGGGCCGGCAGGGGCCACACTCCCTGCCTTGCCACCCACGCTGCTGGGGCGGCTCTGGGGGCCACAGGACGGGCCACGCATGCCAGCGAGGCCAGTGGCCGGCCCACACAGCCAGGGGCTCTGCTCCCCCCAGCACGTGTCACACCAGCTTCCGTGCACGGACACGGCACTTTTGTCACGTTTTAGGATCTGGTCTCTGCCCTTCAGCATCGTTACCACTGTTCATAATTCATCCCATTCCTACAGGTAGCACTTGCTATTTTCTTCCTCTTTTTTTCTCTTCATGATCTGCTTTTCGTAATCCTAGGTCTCCTCCTCCTAACACTTCTCACACATTGCCCTTGGTGAGATTTAGATGTTGATGAGGTGCTGGCTCAAACTCCGCAAGCCTGTACTAGTGTTAAAGTTAGAGCTGGAGGTTCAAATTCATGGTGATAAGTTTGTTTAGCAAAAACCCTACTGTTGCCACCAGCGCTGTTGTTAGCACCCGCCCTGTTCCCACTGCCTCTACCACCTAAATTGCAGCAAACACCCTTCATGGACCAAGTGAAGCAGCTGGGTTGCGTTTCATCTGTAGGAGGAATACCCATTCTCTTTAGCGTGAACTCATATCCTACGAGGGACTTCTAAGCTCCTGCCTGAAACATAAGCATCTAAGAAAATAAAGCCGTTTCTGCCTTCTGGCGCTCTGACCCAAGACCCAGTGGTGGAGTTGGGTGTGGTTTGACATAGCCCCTCTTTTCTTCTCCAGCATCCAGCGCCTTGAGCCTCCCCCATCTCGTGGCCAGTGGTCTGTCCGGGGTCTGAGGGTGCCTGCTGCCCTCTAAGAGCTGGGGGCCACCAGAGGCCAGCGCACCCCTCAGGAGCCCGTTCCAAAGCCCCAGGGCACTGCCCGGTCCGGAGGGAGCCCTTCTGTGGGCTGATGTCATGCTTGAGGAAAGACTAATCGACACTTGAAAATGCAAAAACAGTAGTTAAACTTGGCGTGCCCCTGGACTGTGAGTCTGGATTTGCAAACTGACTTTGAGCCCTTTGCCCGGTAAAGGGCGCAAAGTGAAAGCATCGGTCAGAAGGGCCGAGACGGAGGCAGTGCCGTCGGGGAAGGCTGCGGCTTGGGCACTGTGGTCCCCGCGAGGGCAGGCCTCGGGAGCTTCCCAGTGAAGCCGGCTGTGCCATGGCAGCCCCAGACTCACCTGAGCCGCTCTCGAGTCCTCCCCCAACGCCACTTGGATTGTGAGTCACCTTGTATTTATTTTCTGTCTTTGTCCAGTTTGGACATTTATGATTAGACTACTTTTATTTTAAATGTCACTTGAACCTAGAAGGAATTCAGGCTGAAATTGTCGTAAAAGCCTTGTTTTCAGGAGCGTGTCAGCCCTCCGTGCAGACCGAGCCCTCAGGCTGCGGGTACTGGCCGGGCTGCTGCTCTCGCGAGGGGAGGCACCCCAGGGCCAGCCGCCTGGCAGGTACTGCGGGAGCCACCAGCCCGGGCCTCGGTGGGCACCGGTCCTCCTGGTGACCACAGCGCGTGCCTGCCGTCCGCTCAGTCCCCACCAGCAGTAACAGGCGGTCTCGTCTTTGTTTTGGGTGCAGTTCCTGATCCGCCTCATACACAAGGAGTTGAGCTGCCCGGGGTCAGCGACGGGGGACCAAGTTCCGTAAGTCCCCACTCGGGCCCTCTCCCTGTGCGGGTAACACGTGGCTCCAGAGCGCCCCTCCCCGAAGGAGGAAAGAAACTCACTGCGTGTCCTTTCAGGGCACGCCTCCTCACTCCCATTTTTTTTCTAATAAATGCCTCTGCGTCGGTGTGATGGTGGTGATCTCTCCTCAAAACTGGACCGGAAATTGCCTCCTTTGTCATCTCTTTGTGCTGCAGCTCCCAGAGCTCTGCTCGCTCTCCTTAGCCTCCCGGTCCCTCCCTCCCTCCCTCCCCCCTCCTCTCTGGCCTCCATGAGGCTGTCGAGTGGTAGGAGGGCTCTTCTGCCTTCCATTTCCCCTGTAGGAGAGAACCCTCCAGTGCAGGGAGAGAGGCTGCTGGCCCTCCATGGGGTTGCTGGTCGGGGATGAACCTCAGTGTCGTGCTGAACCCCCGCTGGCTGTTGGACCTGCTATATTTAGTCCTGTCTTCCAGGTTCAAGGAGCAGTGACCACTCACGTCCCATGGAGGGAGTCTGGGCTCATCCTCCGCAAACTGTCGTTCAAGGAAAGTTCAAATAAAGGATCCTGTGTTGAAAAGAATGGTTTACTCTTGCCTTTTGCACATGCACCTGGAAAAGACACAAAAGCCAGCCTGAGAATTCCTGGTACTATTTTAAACGAGACGTGGGGTCCAGAGCAGAATGAGAAGGTCCACAGGAACTGCTGTCCAGCTGCCTGCCTGAGCGGAGAGAGGGGACCCAGCCAGACAAAGGCCCCGACGGCGTGTGCCCATCCGGCCACTCACATGGACTTGTGACAGTGACGTAGGCGGACGTGTGGCGCCCAGGTAGGCTCCGTCTGTCTCAGGTACTCCAGCAACAGAATGTTCAAGTGTCTGAGCGCCGCGCTGGCAGGAGCTCTGGCAGCAACGTGCTGTTGTTTCCAGAGAACCTGAGTGCGCCACGTGAAAAACAGGACACTGGAACATACAAGACCACGCCAGCCAGCAAGGAGCCAGCCTCCACGTGACATCAGGAAGCCAGACAACTGGGTCAGAAACCAAGACAGAACTCGGACCCATCACGTCACCCCAGAGATTTTTCCAGCACTTTCCGTATTCTATACTGACTTCAGAACCAATTGTCCAGTAATGAATGGCAGTGAAGCAATAAACCTGCCTACAGAGGGGGGCACCAGGAGTGCCAGCCCCAGGGCACCCCGTGGCCCCTGTGGCCCCAGTTCCTGGGTGTCCTGAGGTCCTCCAGGGCCGAGAGTGCTGGGGCCGGGGCCGGGGCCTCACCCTGGGTGCTGGGAGTGGCAGGTCACGAGCCCAGCAGTTTGAGTCACTCCAGCACACGCACAAACACCTGGGACCTTTTCTAGTTACAGAGCAGCAAAGTGGATTATTTATTTAATGTGTTATATGAAGTTTAAGAAATATAAATGGCATTTTGTTATTTATTAAGACAAACTCCAATTGTTCTCTGGACGTTTTTCTCAGTTGTGTCTCGCAAAATACTTATCTGCCCTTTGAAATAAAATGGTTTTTCAAAAAAACTCAAGCAGAGCTCTCAGAGAACGTCAGTTATTTCTGCTCACATTTCCATCACGCTAAACAAAGGAAACTTGCAAAGAGAGTTGTCTGTTTTGGCTTTTCTCAGGACTGGGCGCATTCAGGGTCTGGCAGCTGGAAGCTAACAATTCAGCAGGGAAGGGACCCCTCCCTTGCACGGCAGCCAAGCCTAGGCCCCAGCAAACAGCAGTCTGGATGTTTCGTAAACGTGCGATTTAAAGACCATCCGACATGCGTCCGTGGCTGGGAGACGCCGCGCAGTGTGGGGAGCCGGGGCAGGCTGGCGCTGCGCCTGGTGCTGCTGCTGGGTCCAGGCTTCCGGGCTCTCTGAGGAGCAGGGATGGTCGAAGTCTGCGTGGTGAGTCTTCCTCAGAGCTGGACTGCTGTGTGTCTTGAAAGCTGGTTCAGATGGGGACCCTTGCCGGCAGCAGGGCGGTGGTCAGAACACGGCCCACCCGGGGTGTCCAGGTTCTCGGTGGCCTGGCCGTGGGGCCTCTGCCCGCCGTCCTCACCAGATCAGCGTCCTTTGTTTTTTAGAGACAAGTTATTTACACATTTAAAATTTTTCTATTACTAAACATGAAGTTCCATAAACACTATATGGTCGTCTGTGTTCCCCACATACATCTGTGTTCCCTCAGCTCTTGCGGTTTCTTTTTCCTCCTCGTTCCACCTTGTTTCCTTCCTCGGGGGCCACACTCTGAGGGAGCCTCCTCTTCTCCTTCCTCCCTGACCGGTGTCAAGCACCAGCCCAGCCTCCTCCCCCAGAGCCGCAGTGGCCTGGGCCGCCCCTCACCCCTGCAGGTGCCGTCCCCGAGGATGGGTGCTGGCCCCATGCTGCTGCACGGCACCTCTTTCTTTCAGTTTTAAAAGAAAACGGAAAAAAAAAAAAAAAAAGAAGGAAAAAGCAAAAAGAAACGTCACTCGGTAATGCACAGGGGACTTTTGCACACACGTCTTTTGAGCTTACTGCTCCTGCCTCCCAGAGCTGCTCTCTGGGGCCTCGTCCAGTCGGGGGCCCAGGGAGGTGGTCCCAGGTGCACCCCCACCCTGTGGCCACCGCCCAGCGTTCAGCAGCAGCCTGTGGTGGTAACTGTCACTTTCCCAACTCAGTGACCCGAACTATTAGAAGAAAATCTCTCACAACCCACAAAGTCAGAGCAATGTCGTATCTCGGAACCTTCTAAGATGAACACTGATGATGCCTTTGGAATGGATGGTCGATCTTTCTGAAAACGAGGAGGATACACACAGCTATTTTTAAAGCGGTTTAGCTTGCAACACATTCTCGATTCTTGAGTGGAAGATTTCATCCTGACATTGAAGAGAAAAGGCGCACAATTTCATTATAAAAGCGCATCCTCACTGCACCCAGCGGTAGCTGAGGCCACGTCCGTCTGAAGGTAGCCGGCTCTGACGCACGCACGCTTGCCTTCACCCGGAAATGCGACTGTGCCAGGCAGGAACATGCACAAAGTCACTAAGACTTTACTGGTCAAGTCAGCAAGAAACGCCGGGATGACGGACAGGCAAGCTCGTGACGGGTCAGCGAAGGAGGCCACAGCGGGACTCCGGCCCTCCAGTCCCGGAAGCAGGAAAGACCACTGCTGGACGCTGCCTCCTACACCGCACCTCAGATCGAAGAGCTGCGGGAGGCGTCCCGGTGCCCTGTGGCTTTTGGAATGTAAGTCACGCTTACATTGCCCATGGCAGGGACCAGAGCCAGCCTTCCAGTTGCCAGCTTCTGAAATCAGAGAAAGCTGTTAATAAATTGCTCAGAGAAATGAACTGAAAAAGATAGAAGCCCGAAGTTTTCATCGTTAGACTCAGCAGAGGAGAACCGCTGTAAGTGGTTGTAAATGCTCCAGCCGCTGCTCTGCTCACCGAGGGCCACGGCAGCCCCTGCAGAGCACGGCCGGCGCAGCTGAGAAGCGGGCACAAGGCCTGCCTGGCCCTGGGGACGCCCGGGCTGGTGGGGCTGCGGCCAGCAGGGAGGGAGGAGCCCGCACTGTGCCCACAGCCTGGCCTCCAGGCGCCCTGGGCCACGCCGGGCTGGGAGTGCAGGCTGGACCCAGGGCCTGGAAAAGGTGGGGCCCTGTTCAAAAAGCAGAAGAAAGTGCTGTTAAAGGTGCTAAAATATAAAACACTTTCTCTTCCTCGGCCATCTCTCTCCACCCGACGTGATGTTTTTCTGCTGTTCAGGTTGTACTCCCTCAGGCCTAGGGACACCCAAGTGCAGCCACTCACAGGCGCCTGGCTCTGTCCCCGACCAACGTGCCCAGGTGTGGCACTGCCTGCCTGAGCAGGGACATCTGCTGGACCTCACCAGAGACACTGCAGGCAGCAAGCCTGGCCCTGACCTCTCCTGTCCTCCTCAAGCCACCCTGGAGGCACAGGGCTTCCCCCACTCCCCCCACAAACACCACCGACTAGTCGCTTCCCCGGGGAGGGGGGGTAGTGGGGAGAGGGAGGCTGAGCGGGGCTGGGGTACCAGGGTGGGAGTGCAGCCGAGGCCCCCAGGGAGGCGGTGGGAGTCAGCATCATGCGGGAGCTGAGGTTCCAGCCCTGCGGTGCCAGCTCCAACATCCCTGGATGTCCCTTACAAACCACAGGTGCAAAGATGGCACCGCTCAGAATTTCATCCCTGGGACCCATGTCCCAGTCCTGCTGCCCCCGAAGAACGCACTCCACCCAGGATTGAAACGGGAGCTGGCGGCCTGGCTGCCCCTCACTCCGCTGGGGTTAGCTGCCCACGTGGGTGTCCTTGGCCGGTGTGTTCCAACAGGCCTACCCCTGGAAACTGACACATGTCGCCCTCCACAAGCTGGGCCCCCTAGTGCCATTTGGTCCAAGGACATCTAAAGGACACGGTCCTGTGCCAGGTGCTTGTTCTGGAGCTGCTCATGTCTGTCATGGTTCTACGTGTCAACTCGGCCAGGCTATAGTACCCGAGTGTTCAATTGAACACTAATTTTGCCGCTGCTGTGAAGGTATTTTGTAAATGTGCTTAACGTCTTCAACCTGTTGACTTTAAGTAAAGGAGATTTACCTCAATAATTTGGGTGGGCCTGGTTCAAGCAGTCGGAAGGCCCTTAGGGCAAAACTGAGGTTTCCCTGAGGAAGGAGAAGTTCCACCCATGGACTCGGCCTCCGCTCCAGCCTGAGAGCTCCCGCGGCTGTCCCCCTACCGAGTTCGGTCTTGCCTGACCGGCCCACGATCGCAGAAGCCAATTCCTTGAAGTAAACTCCGTGCGCACGCATGTGTGTGTGTAAAAGAGAGAGAGAGAGAGCTCACCCACTGGCTCTGTTTCTCTGGTGGAGCCCTGACACTGCCCGTCTGTACTGTCCACATGTTTTAAATGGGCACGTCTTATTTTTATAATCAGAAGTAATAAAGTTAGTTTTACAAGTTGGGGACAATACCAGAAAGCAAACGCTCTGTGCCAGGGGTCGTTACTTCCTGGGCGGTTGTTTTGGAGCACAGTTTTCCAAGAGGGGATGCAATAGCACCTCTCCGTTGGCCCCAGCATCCTGCCACATCCGTGGTGACGTCAGACGCCACCACCTCTGGAAGTTCTACCTTCAGAACCCCCACCCTGAGGCCCAGCCTTATGAAGACACCTCCTGGGTGTCTGATGTCATAAAATTTACCAAATCCAGAGGCAGAGTCATGACTTTAAACCTGATTGTAGAACAGTGTCATTCAATCATTCATTCAGCACACACGTGTCACCAAACCCTGAGAACAGGACAGGGATACGGTGACGGACAGGCAAGCCCAGTCTGCCTTCACGGGGCCACAGTCTAGATGATGAGCAGGTGAACCGTGTCCCTTCTTACAAGGCGAGTTCTACAAAGAAACAGGAGCAGAAGGGGCAGGAAGGGGGTCTGTCACCTTATATTGATGGCCTGTGAGGAAGGACTGGTGGGGCAGAGAATTCAGTGCACGGTGGCAGATCCGGGTGAGGGCAGCGAGCACAGGCCATAGAGGGTCACCGCCTAAACCAGAATTGGGGTTTTCCAACAAGTGGGGCTGTAGGGACAAGGGACCAGAGAGGAAGGAGAGGCGGACAGTGACGGCCCAGGAAACGCTGCTGAAGAGGTAGAGGATGGGGCGGGGAGGGGGTGCCCAAGGACCGACTCGGTGGGGGCGATCTGGACAGACGGGAGGTGGCAGCCAGTGGGGTCCTCAGATCAGGGGTTCTGGGGGTGGTGCAGGTGTTGCTGATGGCAAGCTCTAGGGTGTGACATGGTGACAAGGAGCTG